GTGCACTCACTGCATCTCACTGCAGTCCCTTTCTTTTAGAAGTTCTGGCTGCAGTCTGTTTAACTCGCGCTGGATGCTTGCAGCCCATGATGTGTTTTGCTAAATAATTAAGATGCATTAAAAGCAGAAGCTTGTGCTGCTGAGACTTATTTTTCAAATCCTTTGAAAGATTAATATCTGTGTTTTTAATCTTGCATGAAATCCCACAATGAGTGCATTTCATCCTTTGCTTTCATAACGGTATGAAACTTCTCATGCCAAAAAGGGGGGAGAATCAAGGTAATTAATATTTGTGTTGGTGCTGGGGTTTTGATTTACTGAAGCCCCTCCGTGGCACAGCTACAGACTGACAGATGTGTGAGGCTGTGGGGACCTGGCAGTCAGGAGGAGAAGTGGGCAGGGAGTGCCTGCAGGTTCTTAGATCCCTGTGTCCCTTGCGTTGGGCACACGGTTATGGTGAATAAGTGGTTAACGCCTGCTCCTACGTTCCATCGAGGCCTTCTAACGCTGGGAACATAAATGAGAACAAGGCACTTAATTTTTAGATCAGTGATTGAAAGGACGCCAAATGGGACTGAGCCAGCATTTCAGGAAAAACGCTGAGGGAAAATGGCATGCTATTCCAACACCAATTCATATCACCATTTTCAGGACCTAGACTCCAGAGCACTGCTTAGCATGAGAAATCACCCTCTTCATTTAATTTTGGCCTGAGAAATTGAATGCTTTTTTTTCTGGCTTTAAAAAAAAACGTGCATGGCACTATTCTGTGATCTGCTTCCTCTGGGTGTATTTGGTGTGAGCACTTAATTGATAGAGCACTTGAACAGCCTTTCAGGTTGCAGAAGGCTAATTCCAGAATAACCTGAGTTCTTACAGCCATGAGAGCTCGTGTCCATGGGCTGTGACCTGTGACAGCTTCTCCCCAGCTCCTGGGCTGCTCTCACACGCAGCACTGCGCTCCGAGGTGCTGCCACAAATAGTTGCACGTAGCACCCAATGAGTGTCTGCAGCCCTAAAATAAAACTCTGCTCGAGGAGGTGATAAAAGAAGAGTTGGAAAGTTGGGGTGGATGTGCGTCAGTTGGAGTCGCCTGGTCTGACAGCGAAACGTAAGCATTGCCCTAGGATTTATTGGAAGGATTTATTGGAAGGGAAACATCCTGATAGCATTGCTGCTGTTGTTCCTTTAACCTGTCTGTTGCTGTGCCTTTTTCCTTCCTGCTCCTTGTCCATAATGATTTCATTACGTAGTTGGAGCAGCTCTCAGGTGATTTAGTGTTATCTGGGTGACTGCTGTTCTTGGAGGTATCTTGTCTGATTTTGGAGTGTCTGGCCCTTTATATGTAGCCTTTACTTCCACATTCCTCTGAAAATCAACCCTGCTGACACCTGATTCCTGTGGCACCCAGGAGCTGGCAAACATCCTTAGGTACTCCATGGTCTCAGCAGGTTCCACGTGTCTGCATGTCCATGTGCCGTTTCCATAAAACCCATTTTAATCTGAAAGTTTACTTTAATTCTGAGGTTTGTTATGACAGTAGTGGCGATTTTCATCATCTCTAGCAGCAAACCCCTTTTTGGCATTGACTATTTAGCATGGCTTGGATAACTTCTTTTGGATGGACACCCTTCTGAAGCCATGCTCAGCGTTGCCTGCCTGAATGCAGAGCGTTGTGCTCCCTGCTAACACGAGTCAAGATGCTTTGAGTCTGTTTAGGGGCTTTGATCTCTGGGTGTGCAGTCAAGAATTGTTAAACAGCAGTGTAAAACCAGGCAGAAAGGGGAGGGAGAACAACAAAAGCTATGCTCGAGCAAGAATTATTTTTTTTCTTTAGTTCCCATCTAGCTGATGTCTTTTCCCTGTGTGGCGTGGGAAGCTGCAGTTTCATTATTTCTGTATTTCAGTCTTCAAACTCCCACTGGCCCTTATGAAGTGAGAATCGCTCAAGCCACTTTTTTAAAGGGCTATTTAAAAACTTCTAAGATGACATCAAGCTCCAGTGGATGCCAACTGGAATGTTGGGGTTGAAGGCAGGCTGGTAGCTGGTGTTCGCTTCCTAAACAACCCACAGCTGGTGGTGGTAATTCTGCAGGGCTGAGGAAATAACCCCATCTCACCACTGGCATTTATATTCTGGTTGTGCTCCAGGAGGCAGCATCCGCCTGCAGATCTGCGAGGTGATAGGATAAGTGCAGCCCCTCTCTGTGATGGATGGGTTCAGGTTGGGCACCAGCTTCAGGAATTTTAAGAGAGTGTTTGGAAAACAAGCCGACATGTTGTGCACAGTGGGGGAGATGCAAAGAAAAGGCTTTGCACTAAATCTTGGGATCTGATGCAGCGTCGCCAAAGGAAAGGGAAAAGCTGCAGGAGGGCAGTGCTCAGGGTTCCTGTGAGCCCAGTGGAGAGGTGGCAGGAGTTTGTTCTCCATTGGAATGTTATAGTGGGAGAGAAGAGTGTCACAGCTGCTGGGAAATGGCTTTTCTGTCAGATGGTTATAATTCATGCAGCAGATGGATGTTCTTGGCAGTCTTTTTTGCAAGAGGAGCACTAGGAAAGGGAGCTGAGGTGGGACTGCTGGGCAGCACTGTATTTATGGCAGTCGTTTGGGCTGTCCCAAGGCAACAGTGCCCACATATGGGGACCATACTGCTATGCTGGGCCCCAAGCTGGCCGTGCTGCTGCCCTGCTGCAGGAAAAGGGTCTGACATCCCTGCAGAGAGCCTTCACGTGTTCCCCTTTTGCTCAGGTTCAGTTGCATTCAGCAGAATATCGTGTTGCAGCCACACTTGCCTGGATTGTAACAAATGCTGGGGATGGGTTGTTTTATGATTTTTTTCTTTTTTTTTAAATGCTGATTTGAAAGGATGGTGACTCGGGGAGGCAGTTTGCTGAGGTGAGCACTGTGCAGTGATTTGTTATCAGTGATTATCTGAACTGCTTGCGAGGGATGTCAGTGGTAGCTTGTGGATCTGTTACTTGAAAGAAAAAATTGTGCCTCACAACCTTGCATAGAAAGAAAGCTGTTAATCAAATAGTTAACAATTAGCAATGGGACCTTGCTCGAGCACTGTCCCTGCTCTACCCCCTCTCCCTGTTGTGAGATACACTTCATTGTAAGACACTAACCTTAGAACAAGTGTTTGATATCAGCCTTTACGTTTGAAATGCAGTTCCTTCCTTTAAAAGGTTGTCATGGCTGTTTGATCACGGCGGATGAAAATAGATAGCTCTGACAAAGGCATTTGGGCTCTTTACCACAGAGGAATCGCTGAGGAGTGAGGAGGGGATGGAGCTGAGCCCTGGGGCTGAGCCCAGCTCTAATTGCAGCTTGTCAGCACTGAGACTTCACCCTGGGCATCGCAGAATGCTCTGTCCTTGTCCTCTTCTTATTTTGCTCCTGGCACTTCGTTTGGAGAATAATGTTGCTATCCCTGAAGCCTAGTCCTACAGAGACAGATATGCCAGCCTTTAAAAACTTCCTTTCCAGGAGAAAGTGTGTCTACGGGGCTGGTTTATGAGTCAAGGCCACGCAGCAAAGTGAATTGGAGACAGTCAGGTTCTAAGCACTCCTGGTTTTCCTTTAGAAGATGCGTTTGCAAGTGAGAAGATGACGTGTGGGTGCGGGGCCAGGCATCCCTGCTCCCCTTCCCCTGCCCTGTGTGAGCACTGCTTCTCAGCCATGAGTAATTGCACGCCGTCGCTGTCATGGTGAGCATTCACACTCTGCACCTTTCAGCTGGGGCTGCCCTCTGGCTTCTCTGCTTCTGTTAGCAGCAGCGTGGCATTCACAGCCACATTGATGCTATTCCAGATGAACTGTCTACATGTGGTTCACCATCACCCAGCACTACACACAGGACATGTTTCTCTGAGCGTTGACTTCCCTCTCCTCCCTCCCCAGCACCTCCCTTCTGTTTAACCCATGATCAGCAGCCTGGTTCTGCATCCCCTGTCTGCACAGTTAACGTACTTCAGATTTGTTGCTATTAATCATAGAGTCATTAAGGCTAGAGAGGACCACTAAGCTTGTCTAGTCCAACCGTCTGCCCATCACCACCGTGCCCACTGACCCTGTCACTGTGTCTTCCTATTGCCTTTGTCCACTTCAGACTTTGACATCTCTGCTGTAAATTCCTTGGACTGTGAGGGAAGGGAATGTTGAATGATCACCTGCTCTGTAATAAATTATTGTGAAAAGGTAACTGGTGCCATACATCAGCTTAAGCGGCTGCCTGCTAACATTGCATGACTGTGTATAAATAATGTATATTTTCTCAGTGGAAGTGCTTTGTCTTTCTAATGAACAGCTTGCTGATTGGAGAAGCAGACTGTACAGCCATACTGAAAGAGTTTTGTTTTGCCTGGACTACTAGATCAGATTTGTGATCCTGTGGCAGCAAGCAGGCATACAGGCAATCATCCCCACTGTGCTGCAGTGCCTGTCAGGCAGCACCTCTCATGTTATTCTGGATGTTTTCTTTTTGTCTTGGTTGAGAGAAGAACTGGCACCTGGGGGAAGCACACTCAGCATCCCTATTTTTTTAGTGTTATGCTAAAATCCTCTTGTTTTCCAGGTTACAGTTTCACATAAAGGACATAGCTGTGGACAATTCAGGCTGTCCTGGGCAAACTTTGGCACCTTGAATCACAAGATAAAACTTTTCTGTGCCAGTTCTCAGCAAATAGGCACTCACAAGAGAACCAATTAAGCCGAGGGCAGGCACATAGTGAAGTCAGTGCGGGAGGCTTGTCCTGACCAGCCTGACATCTGCACAGTGAAAGACAGCTGTTCTGTAAAACACCAGTTGTGCTTGCATGTTGTATCAGTGCGGGGCTGACCTGAGCCACCCGACGTGTGTGCTCTGGGATTTCTTACTCAGCAGAGGAGTCTGAACTCCTCACCACGACTGATGTTCAACCTGAGTGTACGGAAGCACCTGTGGCTGTGCGTGCATTCAGTTCTGGTGCCAATATCTGTTGTTTCCTCTCCCTGCCAGCTGAAGACGTGGAGTGTGGATGAGCTGCAGAGGAGGCTGTCGGCGCTGGACCCCATGATGGAGCAGGAGATCGAGGAGATCCGCCAGAAGTACCAGTCCAAGCGGCAGCCCATCCTCGATGCCATCGAAGCCAAGAAGCGGCGGCAGCAGAACTTCTGAGCCACGGGTAGAATGTCCTTCCAGCCTCCAGCAATCAGCTCCTTGCTTCTATGACTACTAAACAGGTTGATTTCTATTGAAATACGCTAGCAAAATAGAGGGCAATACTTCTGCTCATTTATTTTTCCATAGCACCTTTGTGAACTCAGGAATGCCATTAAGTGGAGAATCCTTGTGGTGTGTTTTAATTTAGGCACATATTTAAAGCAGTATCCGAAGGAGTTCTGTTACTGTTTTTAGATGGATTATTTTTAAGTCAGATGAGTGGATAGAAATAGACCAATGGAAGATGGCTCACTCTCTTTTCAACTGAACCTTTCCATACTCCGTTTTCTTTAAGTTAATATGAATTGTGTATTTAATGGCTGCATCTGTTGTGGGTTTTTTTTATTGTTTTTGTTGTTCTTTGTGAATGCACAGACTCTGTTTCAAGCTGATGACTGTATGGTTCTGCTGTTAAGGTACTGATAAGTTTTAGGTCGTTGAAGAGAGTAGATGAGAACACCTACAGACTGTCCCAGCTGTTTGGAAGACACTTAAATCTCATTTTTAAAAAGCTGTAATAAGCCCCATGCCTTACACTTTGTGCTTTGATCGAGTGGGATTTCTTCAAGAACTTGGTTTTGTCCTTTGCTTGTGTACGTTAGGAATTAATATGAGTAGATGAAGTGTGTTGTGCCTCCAAGAGAAGTTACATTCTGTAATTTAAAACCCACTTTGACTTAAAGCCGAAAGCCAATCGATGATCTGACCTAAAACAAAGCAGATTCCCCTCCGTCTGTCCTTCTGCTGACAGCAGAGTGCTGGGGGGGCACGGTGTGTGAATGGGTGGAAGTCACTGAACCTCTCTCAGAATTTGGTACTTCTGCTGTGTCTGAGAGCACTGCAAGCACTCTGCAATGTGTGAAATATTTCATACGCTTCATCACTTCACATTCACCTCTTTAGGTGCTGGAATAAAAACTTCACAATATTTTGCATTTCTGCCAGGCTTAGCACGTCAGAAAGTTAAACAGAAAGCAGACATTCGTTGGGTTATCAGAGATGTGCATTGTTGGATGGAGAGGGGGCAGAGCTGATCCAGAGAGGCCAATGGCTGATGTCCCAGAAGCCAATGTCTGGGAAGAGATTCATTCTCTTCAGTCCCTCTGAGTGCTCCTTTCTCATTAAATTTCCCGACACGGGTCTATGGCTGAAGATGCCCTGCTTGTACAATCAGTGAGGATGGTGGAGCTGAGGAGGAAACTGAAGCAGCGTGAGGTGAGCCCAGATCTGGGCACAGAGCGAGCGATGCCTCTGCACAGCTTTAGGTGCACCTAGCTTATGGTGAAATATTGGGACAGAACCACGTATTCCTACCGATTTGTTTTTGTTATGCTCTGACGGAGAGAAGAGTTTCCATGCAATCCTCTGAAACAGGCCTTGGTGCTTCCTGCAGGTCATTAAACAGCACTGTCTCCTGAATCAAATGCTGCTCATTCCATGCCTCGAGAGGCTCTCATTCCCTGCTTGCAGCAGACTGCTGACTACTGTTAACAGGCATACTCCGTTGCTGTGAAAGGAACCAAGCCATTTGTACCCCCTGCAGATCTGGCTGCATCGGTTCGTCCCAGGGTGAGCAGCACTGCTCTGCAAGCCTGCTTTGTACCTCTGCTGGGCATAGAGATGTGGCACGCGGCAAACTGTGCGCTGCTGGGTGTAATTCCGGTCAGGCAGATCCTGCTGGGAGTAGTTTTACCTCTGCACTGTGTAGGTAACTTTCTGGTCTTCATAGGGCATTAGAAAACCTGAGTTTTAGGTGAAGCACCACATTGTGGTGTGTGCTTTTGGATTATGCAACCTGTGTCTGCTGTAAGTGAATGTAAGCACTGTTGAGATGCTCTGCTTTGCTGGTGCGATTGTCTTAAAATACAGCAAATGAACCAAAAGAAGTAAAACTGGCCCAACTGCCTTTGAACCTTTCTTACAAGCTTGCGGTGGCTGAGGCTTGGTGATATTTCTTGCACTTAGAGTTTGAATTATTTTCTCCTTCACTGATTATCAGGTAGAGAGAAATTAATTCCCTTTCTGATGCCCTTGTAGAGCACTGTACCCTCTTAGTTCTCAGAGCCCTACCGACTAAGACCAAGGCTCCCATCCTCCAGGAGAGCTGTTCTGACAAGGTTTTTAAGCAAAGCAGTTGCTTAGTTGTGAAGCTGCATTCAGGTGCTCCTTGGGCCCATCTGCATTGCTGAAAGCGTTCTGGACAAACCGTGATCTTTGCTTCTGAAACCCAGAGATGCTGATGATGTCAGTCACATGAGACTTAATAATGTGAAATTTGTAGCTTTAACTTTTTTGTAACAAATTAGCAACACTGGCATAAAGTGCTGACTTGAAATGCTATTTTGTAAGGTCTGCCTGTTTGTATATAATAGTGTTGGGTCTTTAGTTTATATATGTATGAAATAGTAACTTTTATTGCATTCCTCTGAGTTTGATACAGGAGGTTGTGTTTGATCTTTCTCAACATTTCTTGCCTTATTTGTTTAAAGGGGCAAATAAACTGTCCTTACAGAAAGCTTCGGTGTCCTGACTGTTATGTGCACAGAGCTGGCAGGCAGTGGCAGGAGGTGCTTTGGGACCTGGTGAGGGGCAGTCCACCCTCCCTACACAGCAGGTGAGGCTGCAGTCACACTCCTAATCCTGGCTGCACTCTCAGCTCACTCGTTCAGAATGCTGACAGTGAGTGGGTGCTGCCTTCCACGGCGAACTGTTGGCTTTTACGTGGTTTCCCTGAGCAGTTACTAAATCTGTCCCAGAGGGATGACTAACTGAGGCAGAGACAGAATCCATTCAGGAGGCAGCTTGTGTTAGCAATGCCGGAAGAAATAAAATAGATGTGAGCTTTTAAATGTTAGGAAGGAGTGTGGAATCCAACGGGAGGGAGGCTGCAGGCATTCCTAGTAGCTAGGAAAGCCCGGAGCACTTACGTGCTCTCAGCAGCATCACCATGAAACTGCAGAACACCTCCATGAAGGGAGGGCTGCACCCCAGGGGAGTCCTCACCTGCACTCCTTTCATCCATGCACAGTGCCCGTTGTGCAGAGATACAAATTGCATGTGGCTAACAGACAGTGGCTGATGGATAGCCCTCATTTTGCCCTCTTTCCTTCTGTCTGTGGGCCAGAGGAGCCCAAGCAGGAGCTCAGATAAATGCTCTTGGTGTTGGCTGACAGCCCTGACTTGAGAGCTGATGATTTCTCATTGCATTAATCACTAGCAAAATTTAATAGTCAGACCAGGAAACACCCATCAGCTATTTCCAGACTGAGAGTGACTTAATTACCCTTTAATTTAAGAGCCCAGGAAAGCAGCCAACTTCTTTAAAAACTTTAAAACAATTCAATCCCATCTATGAATCGCATCCTGCCCTTCTCCCTGCCAGCTCATTGCTGTTAACTTAATAGAGGCTGAGTCCCACCCAGAGCTGTTGGAGCAGCAGGAACAGCCCTTGTGCTGTGGTGAGGGGTCTCCTATCCCCCAGGTCCCAACCCTTAAGATCTCCCATACCCAGCACAGAGCACGGTCAGGGCAGCCAGGGCTGTGGCAGCTGGCAAAGGGAAAAAAGTTTGAAACGAGTAATGAAGTTTGCTTTTCCCTAAGCAGCAGTGACCAATTCTCGGCTGCATGGAATAGCTTAATAAGGTCAGTCCTTAATCACCATCCCCTGGAGGTAACTCAGTCTCTCCTTCATCAATCACTTTTTGAGTGTGGAGGGTGATTTATGTGGAAATAACCCAATACAGCATTTAATTGATTTACCCACTGTGCCAAGCGAGAGCGCAGACGCTCTTGGGAAAACTGCTGCCCCAGGGACGTGTGGTCCCTTCACTCTGATGGGCACTGGTGGAGCTGCTGTGACACAGACAACCAGCTTCCCAAGTGGGTCACTTCCATCTTTTAATAAAATACACCATATGCATCCCATGCATAGATAGAAAATTAAATTACATGCTCTTTTAATGATTTGCATAATGCTTTTTTAGTTATTACATGTCATTCAGTCTTCCTATTTTAGTACATTTTGCTACTGGAATATTTATGGAGAGAAGGGGAATTCCTTCCTTTGTTCAAGTAACAGTGGAGTGGGAGCCGGACCGGGGCAGATAATGCTGGAAGACACGGACGTGAGCACCAACACCCTGCTCCCACCCATGCAGAGGGGCTGTGTCTGCACCAACTCCATCTTCTCTTCCCCGAGGTCAGCAGTCCCTGTGGCAGAGCCATTCCCACCCACCGCCGTGCCCTGAAAGCCATCTGCGTGGCTCTGGGCTGGTCGGGTGGCTGCGGGGTGCACGTTGCTGAGGGAATTGATGCTGTGCTGAGATGTGCGCAGCCAGGTGGGGAGCCAGATGGGATGGGGGTGCCCCAATGCCTGGCTGTGAGGGGTCAGGCAGGAGCTGGTGAGGAGCAGTGCAAGGTTCCCTCTGCAGGAACGTGCAGGGGGTCACGGCAAGGCTGCTCCCTCCTGCAGAAGGGCTGCAGCCCCAGCTCCTCCTGCACCAGGAGTCAGGGGCACACGGACACAGCAGAGGCAGCTGCTCTGTGTCCAGCAGTGTTCCCCATGCCCCGGCAGCCCTCGGCAGGTTCTGTGCTGCGTGGGCTGGGTGCCAGCATCTGCAGCAGCCGCTCCTCTGGAGGGAATGCAGGAGCCCCATGGACAGGGATGGGGACACCTGCAATGCGAGGAGGGCCATGGCCAGCCAGTCCTGCTGCAGAGTGGGTCCCACACCAGGCACCACCGTTCCTCCTGGGCTCATTCTGCACCGACCCGGACCCCCTGTCCTTTGCACGGGACTCAGGGAGCGGGGAGGGCACCGGGTGTGAGGCTGCGGCGGTCGGGGCTGCCCCTCCCCAGGGAGCTCTCGCTCAGCACCTCTGAGTCCTGCTCGCTCTCCACCTCCTCGGGCTGCTTCTTCTCACTGTTCCTCACGGCGGCCTCCAGTGCCTTTTGCTTGCGGTAGAAGTGGGAGAACTTGTTGAAGATGATGGTGATGGGCAGTGCCACAACCAGGATGCCGCCCAGGATGCAGCCTGAGGCGGCCAGCTTCCCTGCCACAGTGACGGGCACCACGTCACCGTACCCCACCGTGGTCATGCTGACTGTGCCCCACCACCAGCATGCCGGGATGGTGTCAAAGCCAACATCCTCCTCCTTCTCTGCGGTGTAGGCTATGCCGGAGAAGACAGACACCCCCACAGCCAGGTAGAGCAGCAGAATCCCCACCTCCCGGTAGCTGTGCTGGAAGGCAAAGCAGAGTACAGTGAGTGAAAATGAACACATGTAGGGCATTGAGTTCTGCCACTCTGCGGTCCCAAATCCTGTATGTAGCATCACCCAGCACCTGCCTGCCTATAGGCAAGAAAGGTGCGTCCCTGCAGGGCTGAACATCCTCTGGGCTGGGCCCAGGACCCATTTCCATGGGGCTCTGGGGAACATCTGAGCTCGCAGATGGGGACTCAGGGTGGCGGCAGTGGGACGTAGGAGTGCACAGGGTGGGATCCAGAGGCAGCACACAGGTTTGAGCCCGGGAATATGGGGAGTGAAGCTGGAACAGGGCTGGGGCAGAGCAGGAGCGCTGCAGTTCGCTCCCTTTCTGGGTGTCACAAGTGGATTTCTTGGCTCTTTTTGCCTGCTTATCTGCTGACTTGCTCTTCATCTTTTAGGGAAAAGGAATCAGAGTTCTAAAGGTATGTTATTTGCAAAAGCCCCACAGCAGCTCTGGGGCTGCTCCCAGGGAAGGACAAAGAGCACCGAGCTTCACAGACATGTCAGGTTGCTGAGAAAAATGCTCTGGGCTGGAGCTCAGAGTGCTGTGCTCCTGTGCCTGCAGGTCCCAGCCACATAACCCTATGAATCTTTAAAGAGCATCAGTTACGGCCCTGGATGTGTTGGAGGACAGAGGTGAGGGGAAGGCAGGCTATTTTCCCCTGCTGCAAGCACATGGTGCAGCGGAAGAAAAATGAAGCAAAGAGCCTGGACTGAACCCAGGCAGAGGTACCAGCATGGTGACCAAGCCCATAGTGACACATGTCCCATCTAGGTGACGCAGATCCCCTCTGAGATGTGCAGCTCCAGCTCTGCCACCTTCATGTCCAGGCCACCAAAGGGACATATGACGACCCACGTGTTTCCCCGGAGCCCAGACTGCCCAGTGCCAGTGGCACCAACCCTGCACCTGGTGC